GACAGGCACTCCACTGTGGCGTAACGGGCCTCCCGAGAAGCCCGTACTCTGCAATGCGTGTGGATCGAGGTGGAGAACAAAGGGAACTCTTGAAAATTACACACCACTACACGCGAGGGGTGAAACCGACGAAATCGAGGACCACAGGGTCTCAAGGGCAAAAACCTTTTCTGTTAAGAACAACAAAGAGGCAAAGGTTCTCAAGCGAAAGTACGAAAGTAATGCTAATGAATTCGGGGGAGTTCCTCTTCCTGATTATAATAATAACCAAGGATTTCGAAGAGTGTTTGATGAAGATATTATTAGCAATCGGTCGAGCTCGGGTTCTGCTATTTCGAACTCCGAGAGCTGTGCACAATATGGCAGTGCTGATGCTAGTGATTTGACTGGTATCCATACAATATTATACAAGAAACATTTTTTTTTTATTTTTTTTTATGACAATTTAAATAGTTATTGATCTAAAGAATGAAAATTCATATATTCCTTCTGTAAAGGTCCATCTCCATCCCAACCAGTTGTATGGGATTCGACAGTGCCCTCAAGGAAAAGAACGTGTGTTACTCGTCCGAAGCCTTCTCCAGTAGAGAAGCTAACTAAAGACCTTTATACGATATGGCACGAGCAACAGTCTTCGTGCATGTCTGTAACCTCAGAGGATGATTTGCTTCTTGAGAGTGATAAACCGATGGTTTCGGTTGAGATTGGGCATGGGAGTGTGCTTATTCGGCATCCCAGCTCGATTGCTCGAGAGGAAGAATCAGAAGCTAGCTCTCTTTCTATTGATAATAAGGGACATGCTCTGAGTTCTCAGCACGTGCCTATGCCGAGCCTTGTTGAGGAAAGGTGTGCTAATTTATCAAGGGCAGGAATTGAGAAAATCCCGAAGCCTTGTAATAAGGGGACAACAGAACAAGAGCGTAATAGAAGGTACATTCATGCCAATTAATTTAAACCTCAACGCGTAAAAGGACTTATGAGAGTTTGTGTATTTGATGTTTTCCAAGCCTTGCAGGTTTTTAAACATAATTTTTTTTGCATTGATATTTATCTGAGCAGACTGTGACTCAATTTCCAGTAGTTTATGGGAAGATACATTTTCATGACTCGATTTGGGTATCTAGAAAGTTACCTCTTTTTAGCTGCTTATGTTCTTTAGCATCAAGTGGAGCATTACATAGTACTGATATCCTTGGAACGGTTCTAAATATTAGCTTATTTCAGGAAATTAATATTCCCAAATATATGATGCACAATATTATTTTATGCAATTAATATAATTTCGGGCAATCAATATTTCCAAATATTAGCTTATGAAAGTTTGTATTTAATGCTTTCCAAGCCATGCATGTTTCCAAATATATAATTTTGCAATAATATTTATCCGAGCAGTCCGTGACTCCTCGATTTCCAGTAGTCGCTTATGCTCGTAGTTGATATATCTTCCTTATGTTTATATATACGTGTGTGTGTATATATATATATTCTGTACCGTGTGGTTGTTTGTATGTTGAAAAGTTCGTGTTTTCTTGTAATTTCAGAGACAAGGGTCAACCTCAAAAATTACAGATTTTGGCACATCATAATTCACCACTCGGTCACATAGACTTGCAAGTAAGTTGCTAATTCATGAATTCTCTTGGTATTATTCCTTCGAGCAACTCTGAGCTAATCAACAACTCATAAATTTCTGTATGCAAATATCCTAAGAGAAAATTGAAGGCAATTTCTGCCTTCTTTTTACTTCCACTTAGTCTTGTATTCAGTTTCTGTCCATTATATAGTTTTGCACAAAAAGTGAACATTTTCAGTGAGCTTAACTATTTGAATATATAATTAGCTCATAACTAACAATCATTGTCAGATATCTTATTTTTACTTGAAAGTATTTGTGGCTTTAACAATTAGTAACAACCACTGCCTGTATTTATGCAGGAAATCGTAAATTTGGACAAATTAGTTACTTATTTCACAAACGATGAACAAAAGCGGTTGCTAAAGCTTTTACCTTCTGTTGACACTTCAAAAGCTCTGGATAGGTGAGCATTATTCTTCTTTTGCCTTTCTGCTGCTGAGCAAGTCGAGCATCGAAAATCAGGGGACCTATTTTTTTATTTATTTTTTTTAATTTGGCATATCTTTGCCTGTAGCACCCCTTTTTCTCTTCTTGCTGAGAAAAGTTCATAGAATTTTAAATGTAATGTCCCTTTCACGATCATGATCACGATCTTCTTAACTGGTAGTAAGGCGTAAAAGTAAAATTTATTGTGCTGCTTAGAATAATACATATTTATCAATCAAGGAGAAGCTAACATCACACTAAATCATATTTGTTCGCCAGTCTTAGAAGCATGTTCGATAGCTCCCAGTTCAAGGAGAATTTGTCCTCCTTCCAGAAACTTCTTTCAGATGGACTCTTTGACAACACATTATCCGGCCTTACAACAGATGACTGTAGAGCTGTGAGGAAACTTGTGTTGTGCAATTCGAGCAAATCAAAATGGGTGGAACAGTATAAAATCTGTAAGGTAAAAGCGCAATCTCACATTAAACGGCACTGATCTTAGGTTTAGAGTACATTTTGAATTATTTTTTTCCCTTTCACTTTATCAATCAGGAGACCAAAGGTAAAAACGTCATTGATGAACCAGAAGCTCTGAAATCAAATGCCCTCGCAAATACTGATTATTCACTTAGTGTTACAAGACCACGTGATGGTGGGGCCCACCAAAAGTTCTCAGGTAAAAATTCCAACATAATCACTCTTTATGCTTGAGATTTGTATTTCTTTTCTTGGAAATAATTGTTAATTTATTATTTTTTTCGTTTCAGGGGCAAAGGCAATAATAAAAAGTCCAAAAAAGACAGTGATAAGGTCAATCTGCAATGAGGGAGTGAAAATAGATAAAGGCTGCTCTTTCTCGAGTCCAAAGCCCTTATTTTCTTCGGATTTTGTTGATGAAAGCTGTGAACAGGATTTGCTGCTCGATATTCCATCTAACGGCTTGTTCCCACAGGCTGAACTCCTCTCGAGTTCCAGTTTTGGTGCTCAGGCAAGCACCACTAGTAGTACTTCACTATACCCATACTTTGGCAATCCCTGATTGCCTACTTCTCAACAGTCCAGTTGGGACCCGAACTTTTTTTTTTTTTTTTTG